ACTTTAAAGAAGACTATTTTCTTATTGCAGGTATATCAATTTTAGGCATTTGGAGCAAAAGACGCAAAAGAAACGAAATTTGAAGCCAAAATAACAAATTTTGAGATTATGGACCCTGAAGCGTCAGAACTGGCGATTAAAGCGCCACTTTACAGAAAGTTGGCGTCAGAAGTGTCATTTTATAGAGAGTTGGTGTCTAAAGTGTCAGATTTGGCGCCTGTAGCGCCAAAACCCAGAACAGCACAGTCTTAAACAAGTTGGCGCCTGAAACACTAGAACTAGCACCTGAGGTGCCAGAGATGATTTTTTGCTGATTAAGGTGGTCCTTGACAAATTTTGTCGAATTTTGAAAATGACACTTATTCTAAATGCCCCATAGAGTGATTCAATGCATCTAAACACTTTAGAATGTCCTTTTATGAAGGGATATGTCCCTTGGATAAATAGACATGTCTTTTGAATTCAAAAGTGTTGACTTTTGGATAAAATTTTGGAGGGAGACTGCCTCTAATTAAAGAGAGGGAATTTTAGGGCAAAAAAGGGGGGCTTCGGTGGTGGCGTGAGAGTGAGAGAGAGTTAGAGAAAAAAAGTCAAGGACTTAGAGATTTTCTTTAAGGGATGTAAGAGAAGAGAGATTTCTTCTTCATTACACTTCTAAGAGAGATTTGAGAGTGCTTGTAAAGAGGGAAAGTGTTTGAAGAGAACTTCTAAAGATTTACTTGGGAAGGATTGTAAGATAAGTTGTGTTCTTTCTTTTTTTTGTTTTGTAAACTTATTTTTATATATGAAATATTATTTTTATATATGAAATATTTATATATGAAATACGTGTTTTGTTGTTTCCTTCTCATGAATTCTGAGTAGTATTCTTTATCATTCTTCCTATTTTGATATATGGTTTTATGAAGAATTAATTTTATTTTATATGGTTTTAAATGTCAAAATTTGTGATGATTTGAACTCTGATCTTCATTTACTTTTATATATGGCCAATTGAAATGTTAAAATGTATTGAGAAATATATGTTCCGAAAATGACTAGATTTCTACAACATAGTGAAAATCACATTTGATTCCATGGGAGATGATGGCATCCATGGGATTGAGTGCAAATAAATAGAGAAATATCCTTTGTTGGATGCATAATTGGAGATTTTAAGGTGAATGATTAAAATCCTCAATTTGGTTCAGTTGATTGAAAACTAATGCAAGATTGTTAACCTACAGGTGAGGGAGTAGTGAGAGCTTTGGAGTGGCAGCTGATATCCTCCCAGTCTAACCACAGAATTAGGAATCAAACTCTAAATTAGTCAATATTTTTTATACACTTGAAAGAGGGTAAAGAGTATGATTGCTCCTATTTGACACAAAACAATTTATATATATTTTTTCAAATGATTTTAATTTATTAACAATTCATATACTCATTGTAAAGGGGAATGATGTTTTCTTAAATTTGAACTCTTCGCCAAAAAAACTTTGTTTAGTTTTCATAAGTTTACTTTTAAAAATTTAGCAATTAGTTTAATTAACTTAATTCTTTTAACTGCATTTTATTTAGCATTCACTCAATTACTCAAGATTCGAATTTCGTACTTTACTTTTGTAGTTTAAATTGTACTTTACATTAAAATCATAAGAATTTATCTATAAGCATTTTCAACTTTCCAGTTAGATCGATATCTAGGATTTCATTAGAACTCTTTATTACTTGAGCGATAGTATACTTGCTTTATTTTTAAAGGATTTGACAGTTTAAAGATTTATAAAAAATAAAACTATTTTCACTAAAGTTATATTTGTTGGGATTAAATTGCATATTATTTATTGTACCTTCCGTGTGTATTTTGTAATATTAAAAAATATTTGTGAAAATAACACACTAAATCTGTCTGCATCCCTAGCCAAGCTGTTAGAAGTAGCCAACAATCACATATCGGTAGAAGAATACAACTCCTCCCTTACATTATTCTGAAACGAGCTCACCTCGAAGACTAACAGGACATTCGTATAATCGAGCGACTGATGGAAGTCATCATCAAGGAAGTCAAGCCCGGTATTTGCAGCCTAAAGAGACACCAGTAAATTTTTATAATAAGTAACATTGATGATGCAAACTACAAGGAAAGTGGTGCCTCAGGTGCAAAGTAGAGACAATTTGAAGATATTTTACCCCTAGAAAAAATTTTGCATCTTGACAGTAAAATCAACCAACACTCAGAGAAATAGATAAGATCATTTAAATGATCATCAAAATTCGACGACGCATGGGGAATTCAAACTGACCCATCGACAGTGATTCTGTCCAAACGGTAAAACAGATAAGGACATGTAACATCTGATCCGTAAAATTTTTTTAAATAGTAGACAACGATAAATAAACTTTTAATAGTAAATCGCACAAGATCTGGCCCACAATGCTTAAGCATCAATAAAACCTGTGTCTTCTAGCTTAAAGAGGGTCAAACTCTGGCAGCGATTCTCTACCCATTAACAACAAGATTGGTAAATCACGCAAACTTAAATTAGTTCACTCAATCTGTCTCTGCTTGAGGCTAGAGTATGAGTGATCTCTCACGGACGTCTGACAACTTCTGATGAGCAATCTCCTCCATCCTCTCCACTTTATCAACACGAGCAAGTGACTCAAGTGTCTCCTTGTCTTGATAGGTCAAGACCGACCAAACGAAAGAGTTCTTGATCTCGTCCAAGCGGCGAGCCAATGGCTTGCAAGATACTCAACATCCATCAGTTGTCTCCATGAAGGTCTCGAGAGGATTTCTTGGGCAATTAATCCTACCATCTTCGCTCTAAATTCGGTCTCCCTCAATTGGTGCTTACGCAATAGCCACTGGTTGAGCAGTCGGGTTCTCATTAACATTTGTCAGAGATGAGTCATCACCCAGGACTATCATAATCGGATTAGTTGCACCAAGAAACAACGTGAAGAAGAGCCCCACCTCCCCCGGTAAAAAATCAAAATCTGAGAAGCATGATCGAGGCTTCTCATATCAAGGATTTGATCCAACACGGACGATGCAAGTGACACGAGGCTCTCACCAAGTGGTGTCAAAGCACAAATAGCTTTCTACATATCGAGCGACAATAGAGCATCAATAGCTTCTTGCGTATAGGGCGGTGGCAGAGCACCAAAAGCTTCTTGTTTGGCTTCTTCAATCTTTGGGTATCGTGTCGCAGTCTAAGGTTGAGTCGATGGATTGATAATGGTTGGGGCAGTCACCAGAGTGTTCCTCTGCTGAGTGTGAGGAACAATCAAGTGTTCAACTGCTCTACCTACACAATCGCTTTTCTCTTATTAACTATAGCTTTCTTCTTCCTTTCGTCTTTTGGGCAGCACCACTCTTTCGGTTTCCAAAGGTAACTCAAAGCATATTTTTACTGGGGATTTCACATGGGGGATTCGATACATTCTTCATTACAACACTCAGAAGCTGTAGATTCAAACGAGAAGGGATGCATAGTAAATATGAAATGTGAAGTCATCTCATGCCTTATTTATAAGGTTCAAAGGAATGAAAATCATGAAAATTCAATTCTTAAATCATTAATTAATAATAAATGTGATTTGTTTTTATATTGTTAAATATTCTTATTGCATCATCACTTTCAAGAAGTAAGAGAATCCAATAACTAAAATATGTACATAGAAAACGTGTCGGTGTTGATATTGAGGAGATCTGACGGGTTAGAAGAAGAAGAGAATGAAAAAAGAGGGCTTACTAATATTAAATTATGAGGCACACTTTTTTGACAAAGTGAAGCAATCCGAGCCTAAACTAGTTAAGACTAAAGCCAAATAAACCGTGAGACAGACCAAAGACAACCAGATGATATAAGAATGAGTTGATCCAGGGAAGAAATAGTATTTTAGCATCTCTGACCACCCCAAAGACATCCAGAGCCCCCTCATCAGCGGCTAAGGATTGATAGCCGGATCACATCAATCCACCGAGTCATAGCGACCAAACTCAGCCGACCAAGCTGATCACATCCAGCTAAGTGAATCTCAATCAACTGAGACAAGTGAAAGCCGGACATTAAACTCATAAATGTAAAATAATAAGAATACCCTATACAACATTCTTTAATATTGATACAAAAATGTAACATCATCACATTATACTCTCCCCTATAAATAAGGAGTTCATTTTATGAATAAGACGTGATTGATATAATATTTTATTATTCAATTCTCGTTCTCTTCCTCTCTTCTTACGTTTGTATTCCTTTTAAGTGTAATTCACAGACAAATCAGGTTTTCACAATATCAATACTCAATAACTTTAATTATGAAAATCAAAATAAGTAAAATAGACATTACCTAAAAAAGAAAATTTTTCCATCAGATACTACATAAATCCTTATTACAAAGGGGGGCAGATCTTTCCTAAAAGATTTCTAGTCATGGAGGGCAAGAATTTTGGGACCGATTTTCATGTGAGAGCAATACAACAAGTCAAAATTGAGAAGTGTGGGCTTTTGAAGCAAATAAAAATACTAGAGGGACGATTGTGCAAATTACCAAACCTGCCATGTTTTTTTTTTTTTTTTTCTTTATCATTTTTATCGAGGGAGCAATTGCCGTGTAATTTATTTTTTAAAATTATAAAATTGTGATATTTTTCTTGAGACAAAAAATTTTCAGTACATAAATTTTAAAAATAAAATAAAATCAAGGTGTTCATATATAAACAAATAAAAATTGGTGATAAGCATATATAAATGCTCCATTACATATACCTCACAGGCTTGTGAATGGCGAAATTGCCAATCAGCCCCTTCAGTGTTTCTCATATTGTAATAAAGTCTCCAAACAAGTAAATATATTGCTTATAGTGCTTGCCATATTTTTGTTAAGGATGCATCTTTATAATCAGGTGAACATGTTTTGTTTTACCAATTCAGGCTTTCTTTTTGTTTTTTTTGCAGTGGTTGATAAAAATATACTGGAAAAAGTATTTTAGTTGGGCATGCCATGGGAGAACAGAATCTATGAATTAATATTTTATTGGAGCAGCAATAACATTACAGTTCCATGGAAGCAGCCATCACAAATTCAGACCAAGTGCATGAAAAGAAATAGGGGAAAAAGGGGACAAATACTTGAACCTAATTCTCTGATATGTATGCCACAAGTTAAGCTTTAATTGTTGAAAAATGATCAAAGGGTGAACGGCCCACGCCCAAATAACAGGAAGAAGTTAATACTGATACTCAATGTGAGATTTGTTGACCGTTAGAGGGGACTGCTGCTGTCTGTTGCCCAGCTGCAGTAGCTCCATGCTGAGATGCATAGGAGAAAAAGAAGAGTAAATATTAAGATTAAAGGAAAGGGGGGGCATTTTACATGAATAGCACATAATTCTTATATATTTATATATCTAACACCGTTCATATTTACATTCATAACCTAATCTTTGACATCACATCAAAAAAATAATCAGTATCGTTAACTTTTTAAAAGTTAAATATACATTTTCATGCATAGGTGTAAATATACAAGTTTAGGTGTTAGATATGGAAAAATACAAGAATTGTGTATTATGTATGAAATTTCCCTAAAATAAACTAAGGAGAATACAAAATTTAGTATTAAATAAATAAGTCAATCATGATTTAGCAAAATGATATTATAAAACTAATTTACAGGATGCAAGAGTTTAAACTGCCTACCCCATCATTTGACTCCAAGCTATGCGGCTGAAAGGGTACAGGAGATTTGGAGAGATCTCTCAGCGTACCCTGCAAGAGAAATGGGAATTCAATTGTACTGTGCAGCCAAACCAAATAAATAAATGATTTTGCAAGAACACCTATTTCTGCCACGAAAAGGATGAAATTTGTTTCCACTGTAGTTTATTCACAAAATATATAATTAAATATTAACGGAGCAACATCAGACAATGTCAAATGAGCCGAAGATGGCTATAAAAGTCGAACCATAACATTAATAGGATGAACAAGCTAGTCAACTACACAATGAAACTAGAACTACGTAGATTGTACAGTAGAAGGGATCAGAGAACTAATTGTTGTTTTAATAATAATAAAAGAAACTCTGTTTGCACAAACTAAACAAAAGACATATATAATTACATGATACCAAAAAAGTAGTATACAAAAATTAGACCAATGATAGTTCCTAATCCAGGCAATGTTCAAGTAGCACCACATATAGGTAATTTTTGCACCGCAGAAGTTAGCAAACTTCAGAGCAATAAATGCAACGGTTAGAACGAACATAACAGCACAAGCAAAAATGGGGAGGAAAAGGATTATTTGCATGCATGCCACTTAATTCCTATGTATTTAAATATCTAATACCTAGCTTCAATTTTTACACATACATACCACCTTACCTAAACATGAAACGGTGAGTTTCACTTTTAAAGAGTGATATTTTTATGTGATATAAAAAATTTTGGTGATATAAATGTAAAAAGTGTCAAAGATGTAAATACATTGGATTTGGATGGTAAGGATGTAAATGCCTTAGAAATAAAATATTGATGTTTTATTTACACTAGCAGCTAGTTTTGTGATCGACGACAATAACCACACTTATATTGCTCACGAGAGACCGTTATATGTTCCAAAACTGATGCGTGCCCTCAATCAATCGCATACAAGAAGTCATAATTCCAAGAAATTTTTGCATTTATCCGCATAGGTATCCTCAAGTACATAGACTAAAAAAAAGGATTTCCTGTTTATTTATCATTTACACAAGCCAGAGAAAATATGAAAATGGAATTTCAAGATGGAGCTGGAACACCCGCTTGGTCAGGTAAATCACACACAGAGGAAAAGCATTAAAACTTGTATGGTAACGGATAAGATTTAAGTTGGTAGGATCTAATAAATCTTGTAAAATCCGGATTTAAGAAATTGTGGAAGGGTTAAATCCCAAAATGGTTACAGATTTAGTAAATCTTAATCCTGTCAAACAACTTATGTCGGCTTTTAAAAAATTGTTATATTTGTTAGAATAAAAAATCATAATTACACTTTAATTATTTTATTCTTATTATTAAAATTAATTATTAATTGAATTAAATTTAATTTCTAGTTACACTAATTAAAAATTCATTATTCATCAAATTAATTAATTAATTAATTAATTATTAAACTAATCATTTATTAAGACATAATTTAACAGTAATCAATTATTAATCAATTAGTTGTTAATTATATTAATTAAAAAATTATTTTAATTTATTAAATAATTTAAATTTTAAATATAAATTTATTCATTAATTAACTGTTAAATAATTACATGTAAATTTTTCAAATTGTAACTAATTTAATACTATATTAATTAATTATTACTTATTAATTATTAATCAATTAAATTAACAAAATTAACTTAAATAAAATAAATTAAAACCACAAAGCTATCTCCCCTTCTCCCCTCTGCCTAAAAGCCCACCTACAACACTCCATCTGTCCGGGTTTCGCTCACAAACCCTTCCCCTCTGCCCAAAACCCTCATTTTCCCTTCCCTCCCAGTTTGGTCGAAAATCAATACAGTCACGACTAAGGCTAACTAGGAGGCAAGCATAGGATCGCAGACACCCGAAACTCTCATCTTTCTCCATCTGCTCTGTTCCTACACGAAATCATGGAGGAAGGTTATTTCATATCATAACTTTCACCCGGACCGTCCGTCCCACGTTAACTAAATCCACCAATTCACAGAATTTAGTACAACCAGGAAGCCGAAAGCAGTGAAATCCAGATTTATCAAATCCTCAGCTTTATTTTGTCCAAACTAACCATTTGACAAGATTTAGGTTAAATACTACTCTAAATTCGTTACCAGCAGCCCCTGAAAGCTCCTTTAGAATAACTTTTGACAAATTTTGCTATAGAAAAATAATCAACAAATAAAAGATCCATTTATTTGATTACTTTTTTCACCGTTTTTTCCCTTAAACATTTGCCTTACAAAGCGGTTTTAGGAAATTTGATAAAGGCTGTGATAGGAAAACTAGCTTTTAAAACTACGAGCTAAAAAAAGAAACGGCCTCCAAAGAAGACATCCAAAGTTGTTGATGTTCAATTCTGAAAGTTAGCGGCGAGTTTCTGCAGATTTTATTTGTTTTCCACAAAATTGCAACTTGCAATTTGCCCCGACTCCTACTCAAATGCTGCTCCCACTAGGGATACCCCATGAATGCTGCGTGCATTATGGACCTGCACCTAACATGGATAAGGCAGGCACACACCATCCACAGGCGTACCTGCCATAAACACTAATAGCAGCGCCGCTACCACAAATTATTCTAATAAACCTAATCAACAACTAAGCTAATTTGCTCACAATCTTTATATTAATAACAATTAGCCTATATAAACAGCCTGATTTATTACCATAATCATAATTATAATATTTACATTATTTTATCTTTTATAATGTGCAAAAGTAAAACTAAAAAAGTGGTTGCCTGCGCGTAAGAAAAAAGCGATGGTGAGATTTAATAAATTCCTAAATCCGCCAAACCTTGTAGTTGTAAAATCTGGATTAAAGCCACATCAAATGAAAATTTGAATTCACTGACTCCGACAATTCAATCCGCAGAACACCTGCTTTTTTGGGTTTAGCTGGATTTAATATATAAAAGGCTCAGCCAAACAACCCATTAAGAGGTTTTCAAAATCTCATATTGCAGCTCATTTCTAATGTCTGAGAGATTTTTAAAAAAAATTTAAGAATCTACTTTTATCTTATATTAAGGGCATATCTAAAATCCAAAAGTTAGATATTTACACTTATACCACCTTGTTGTCATAAATCAATGCATGAAAAAATGTATTTCAGTCTTAAAAAGATAGTGCAGTAGTTTTGATGTGATGTTAAAGATTTGGGTAATATGAATGTAAAAATATAAATGTTTGAGTGTTAGATATGTAAAAACATAATATGAATGTAAATGTCCCCTTATATTAATTAGTTGTCAGAATTTAACTCTAAAACTGAGATTCAAATGCATCCAATTACCCAACATAAAAACCAAATGATCCTAAAAGTTAACAAAATCACATTTAAATATTATGCACAAAAATAATCAAATTTTTTATCTTCAAAGCAAATAGAAGGTTCAACCTTGTTTGCCCACATAAGCCCACATGCATTACATAATGTCCTCGGTCCATCAGGGCCACGGCGCATCATAGGTGTATCTTTTGCACTAATGTGGCAGTGATAGCATCTGAGAAACACCAAAAAGATACATATGAAAATGTTTGACATACCAAAATGGTCTCCTGATTATTTAAATGAGATTATTTTAGTCATAAAGTTTAGAGAAGTGATAAATTTGTCCCCGGATTCTTTTAATGGGGACCAAAATAGTCCTCGGTGGACACTACTCTAGGAACTAGATTACCATTTTTATAAATTTTGTGACTAAAATGGCCACATGTGAAGTTGGGAGATTATCTCGACACTTTTCTCGATTGAAAACAATTAAGAATTCTCTCAAATGTGGATTCTGATCCAAAAACTAGGACATCTCTTGAAAGCTTACGCTGATGCTGTTTGGGGCTGACCATTCTCTGCAACCAAATATGATGTAGAATCCGCGCCAGTAAAACCTGGTTCTGCTCCTTCAACTTTTGACTTTGACGAAGTAAATTGACCTTTATTACGCTGCATCCTGCCAGTGCAATCAGTATCATAAATTACAAAATCTTCATGTTATTTGTCCAAATGCTATTGGTTTCTATGACTGTAATTAAAAAAAAAAAATCTTTCCGTGACAAAATCAAAGGTAACAGGAAAAAAATTAAGAAACCCATAGTGAGTTTTCATTTTTGGAGAGCTTATCAGATCGCTAAAGAATACTGCTGTCCGAATATTGTTCCCAAGCGAACCAAAACAAATCAAAAAAGCTCCTCATCATCATTTGTCCTATCCCAACAATTAGAGAACCGCAATAAAATCGCTATAAATTTGTTGGATCAAGAAGAAAAATAAATGAAAAATTAAAAATAGTAAAAAAAAACAACTAATATTTTTGCTAGAAATAGATAGCATGGATTAATTATTTTACAGATCAATAATTCAGAGCCCCAAAATTTTTAGTAGCCACAGAAAATAAAAATAGAGATAATTTTGAACAACTTAGTAGCATAACTAGTTCGTATATATCTTAAAAATATACGTTCCCAAAGTGCTAATTTCTACTTAACATGATAGAAATGCATGAGAAAAGAGGTCCGAACCTTTAAAATGATACAGTTCGCTTTCACAAACAATATGATCATCAGTCTATAATGTCTTTGGCTATAGCATCTAATGTATAGTTCATTTTGGCCAAGCAAAACCTCACGGTTTCATCCTTTTTTGTGCGACTTCCCGAGGTGTCATCATTCCCAAAGGTGATTCCCAAGCAAAATCTGCCAAGTACATCAAAAGTTGACCTGCATATTACTGCAGAAATCTCTACTTTTATAGCCCAACCTATTTTGTTCATGTCTACTCTCCTTTCTCCAAAAGGCCTATCAGCAGATGCTCCTTATCCAAGCCTCATCCTCAACTTCATTACCTGCCCTCATTGGCAAATCGTGCAACATTATGTCCACTTTGGCATAACCCATCCCATATTAAGCTAAACCTCACAGTCTTATCCTTTCTTTTGTGTAATTACTAAGCATCACTAATCCTAGCAATGCTCCACTATAAACATGCTTAACTATGAAGTTCCTAAAGAAAATCAACCCGTTACACAAAAAGGTTCATTACATATTACGGCTTAAGTATTTATTATATAATATTATTCCTCTACTTCTGATGTGAAATTCGACTCATTTCTGCACGCTCTTTACCCTAAAAGCACGTAATCCTAGAAGCCTACTAGATGTAATTTTTTATTCAGGCCTCAACCCTGACAATCAATCCTTGCCCTCGAATTCTCTTCTTTGGATTTGGGATAAGAGAAATGTTGGAGACAGTGAAGTGATATAACTCTTATATGGTTCTATTTTTAGTATTTTTATGATTTTTTTATTTATTAAAGATTTTTATTTCTTCTAAACTTTTTGGAACACAGAAGACAATAACATTCTATTTGGAACACATAAAACAATGCAAGTTGTGCCGCAGCTCATTGAAACTTTTGGGGGCATCATTGAGACAGAAGTTTTTTTAAATTATTATTTTAACATTAGCCTTTATTTTTTTGTTATTATTCCCCCCCCCCCACACCAACCCAAACTTAAAAACATACACATGAGACAAGTCATGTTCATCCCAAGCACATGTTCTCATCTTGTATCTATAGTGTCATGTTTGCATACTCATATATTATAGCATGCTAGAAGTCACATGAGTGATCTAACAAGATAAATTCCACAAACATAATCGAAATAACTAAGAAGTTTGAATACATCATGAGGGTCATCATGCTACACTAAATAATTGATTGAGGAAAGCACATGAAGGATGCTCATATACTATATTGATGCAAGATTTAATGTCACAAGAAAAAGAGAGAAAAGAAGAGAAACTTTGCATGCACAACTTAAGCAATCTACGTGTAAATTTTGGATAAAGGGATAACATCCATGATTTCCCCGAGCCATAGTTTTATTCATCAAGTCAATAAACAATTGATGATCAAAATACAAATATTAAATATTACAGAGATAGAACAAAATAATTTGAAACCAAATCTAATCCTATTGAAAACTAAATTTTGTCTTAAACAATTAAAATTCATAATTTATCCTAATTTAATTTAAAATAAAATTCAGAAACAAATAATTTCTAATAAAACTAAAATAAACTCTACAAATACAAGTTGCATTGATCCAGATACACAACTCGTGATAAGCCATAAAAATAATCACATTCCTCAACTTAAAATCAATCAATGATTCAAATACAAACTATTAATCCCTATTTATACAACAAGGTTACAAAAATAAGTCTAAATATTCTTCAAGTGCATACAAGGGAAAAAATACCTAGAAAGCTGGAGATTCAAAGAGACGTACTAAAAACCTATTAACACCTTACCCTAATTGCAAAAGGTAGAGGATGGATGTTTGGAAGATGCACTAATACGAAATTAATGAATGATTAAATAACACATAAGAAAAAAGGATCAGAGAATAAAGGAACACTTTGCATATAATTTGGAGTAATATGCACACAAATACTCATGATTGGACTCAACAATAATTTCATTCACTGAATCTATAATCAATGAATAATCCAAATACAAATAATTGAAAAAAAATACTTATTATTTGAGAATTATTGCTCTTGATTTTTTAGGTATGGATGAAGTACTTTTCTATCATTGTTGTTTTATGTTTTAACATAAATATTCAATCAATATGTGGTGTGTATACTAATTGGAACTCAAACCTACAACAACTAAGTTGCAATTTATAAATATAATAGGAAAAAAAGTTATTTCAGATACACCAATTGTCATCATGTCACTTTATCTAATCTAATTGGCCCAGAACTAAATTAGTAAATGGAATAACTATTATCCTCAAATCAGCTCATCTCTTAGGCATGCTCTCCGCATCGAGAAAATGTGATGTAGACTTTTCACCAAGATTTTCCATCTATATTAGCAGCAAAGAAAACATGTTTCAATACTGCATGTGCAATTTACAAGGATTTAATGGGCCAAGAGCCACTTTGTGCCAGCCAATGAGCATACAAGACAACAACGAACGAGCAAGGTCAGAGTTATTTATCTTAAGAGCAAAATTGCAAGTTGAGGGAGTGAAGCGGTGTATGGAGAGAATAAACAAGAAAATTGGATAATCATATGAGTACCGAGTATTATGTGCGAGAAGGGAAGTGATCACATATAAGTATTTGAATAGATAAGGTAAAGAGTGGCGTGCAGATTGTAAGTTTAGATTTCAAATGAGAAAAATGGAGACGTAAATTCTTGGGCATGAAAACTGACATTGAATGGTTTATAAAATGGAGGGAAAAGACATGAAGGAAGTGTGATGCTCAAAGAGACAGAAAAAATTTATTGCACCTTTATCTAATACCTAATGATAAATGATGGATGTAAAAAGGGTGCTTTAATATCAGCCTGATATAAAAAATCAATGCCATGGAAACAAAGGAAAAGAGAATAAGAAAATATAGCAGATCAAATTGCAGCAATTTGCCCATACAATTCAAATCAAAAGAGAGCGCTTAAGATAATACTCAACAAAAATTAGTTATCAAATCAGTAATCAATCAATGATTGAATACAAAACAGAAAAAGAAAAGTCCCATAGTTGAGGATTATTGCTCTTAATTCATGAGTTGTGGATGGAGTACTTATCAGAAAAATTTATGTTATCTGCCAAAACTAAGTTTGTCTTTTACTATAAGTATAAGCATTCACTATACGGTGTACATGCTATTCAATAAACTAGAACTCAAATCATAGAGAAATAAGCTGCAATTTATCAGTGCATTAGGAATGAAAGCTATTTCATTTACATCAAAAATCATCATATGTTCCAACAATGCATAAGCAAACTACTAGGCTTTTAGTGGCAACGGGCAAAGTCTAGCTAGCCCACAAACATGCAATAGCAATAGACAGATATGGCTATTTCATTTAGTTCAAGGGCTAGATCAAGCCCATGAAAAGTTGACCTAGGCTTTTCAAAGCACATCAAGCTCATTTGTCGAGTTTGGAGTGATTGTGGGTGAAAAAGAGCATACATTTTAAGAGCACGGTAGAAACTTGAGAGTTGAAGCAAGAAAAAGACGCAAAGGGAGACAAGGGAAAAAGATAAGAGAGAGGTGAGATTCAAAATTGCAACTTGAGCGACTGAGGTAGAGTATCGTGAGAATAAAAGTGAACACTAAAGAATCATATGGGTATCATGGTAAGCATTGTCTGGTAAAAGGGATGGGATTGCATGTGAGTCCTTGAAGAGACAAGGTAGAAAGCGATGTGTGGATTATAGATTTAGGTTCTATGACAATGATAGAGGCATGACTACTCGCATATGAAAGGGGATGGATGGGTAATCATGATCAAGAGAAAAGACACGAAGAAAGAGGGGATTCAATGAGAAGGTAAAATTTTATCACAACTTAATCGAATACAAAATGATAGAGGATGGATGTATGGAGGATGCCCTAATATCAAATTGATTGAAAGAACAGAAAAATGAATGTATATGTGAAGCAATCTATGTACAATTAAAATCAACAAAAAAACCAGAGACTTGACTCAATAATAATTTAATTCATAAAATCAATAAACAACCTATAATCCAAATACAAGTCATAAATCCATAATTATAGAAATAAGGTCACAAAGATAAGACCACATAATTTGAAATTCAATCTGATCTTACCAAAAACTAAATATAATATCAAACTATTCAAATTCAAGCCTATGATTGGCTAAAAGGATATTTCATCATAATTTAATTCAAAATAAACCTAATAAAACCTAAAATATTGAGAAAAGCAATTTTCTCGTATTGCTTTAATAACTATTCGGTATGGATATTTCAAAATAGTTTTGATGAGCATAAAATATACCATGTAATGTATACAAACAATAAAAGTAAGCCAAGCTAATTTGATACACCCACAAATTCCCTATACATTATGCAATTAAAAACTCATTTCCTAAAAACAATGATGAAATTATTTAATTGAAATAAACTTCAAAATGTGAATTAGTTCTAGGAAAAAACAGTTAGACTCATTTCTCTCTCATGATTGCGCAAGTAAATATTTAGTAAGCATCAAAAGATTGTTTTGCATAACTTCCAATTTTTCAATAATACCTCTCTCTCTCTCTCTCTCTCTCTCTCTCCACCTCAAGCCAGACTCAATTACTAGTTTGATGCTTCTACTTATCCATGTATAGTTATCTGTATTTTATGTACCCTTGATGTATCAACAATTGTTGCAATATTGTAACCCTATGCATGATATTCTTATTGTCACATTGCACCTATGTTTGATAGAATAGAAGCTTTTGCAGACATGATGTGAGGCTGCACTTAAACACCTAAGAGATATTAAATGCACAGATCCAAGAAACACCATAGTAAATAATCATCAACTATAAGAGTACCAATAACAAAATAAACTCATATCATAAAGAAAATGAACTCAGATGCAAGATTAAATACCAACCATTGCCCAAAGCCTCACCTAAGGGCTACCTCTTTGCGGACATCATAGCGTATTTTCTTGTCAAAATTCCGCTCTTTCCTCTTCTCCCGGAACCTCATCAACGATGCAACCCTGTGTGAAAAATTGAATCTCTGCGAGGCAATAAACGACAAATTTTCCCGACTATTCGTAACGATATCCTAAAAACACAAAACGAAACCTGCCCGAATGGTGGAATGAGCTATACCTTGTTCAACTGATTCGTAGAAGATGTGGGCGGCGAAGGCAAGGGAGCCGCAACCTCCCTCCCTCCCAACAATAATAACACAGATTGAACCTGTAACCATTAACCGATACTCTGAGAGATAGAGAGAGAGAGGGAGAGAGAAGGTAGGGAGATAGAAAATATCCTACCTTTTCTGGTGAAACGCAGTCGAAGACGTAGACCTCGCCCTGGAAAGAGAGGGTAAGCTGACTGCCCCCGACATGAGGGAGGATGGAGAGACCGGGGTCGGTGGGCGCGTCGCCATCCATTGACGCAAGGCTACCAGCTGATTCATGAAGGGCCACCATCCCTCCGGCCATCGGCTCCTCGCCCACCGGCGAGCTAGGGTTTTCGCTCATCACGCTTTACAAAACAGAAAAGAGATGAAATGAAGGGCATTCCAACACTGCGTGGCCGCAGAATTCTGAACGGAAACAATATAGACCCTTCTTGCTTTCCGGGAGAAAAATGAAACCTTGGAAACTCCTAAGCGGAGATAGAGATAGCCTTGTGCCGTTCTGCGACCATAAAAAAGAAACTGTGTGCTCGTTAAAAAATGTTATTGTTCCAATGCTCGGTTCGTTCATATTTTAAAGACAAAAAAATTTATTTAGAACGAGATTTAAATTTTATTATTTATGTTTATACATCATTTAAATATAAGTAATATATTCGAATTTTATTTTTTTAATTAATAATTTTAATTGATGTGAGACGAAACCAATTTTGCAAAGCTTTCGGTCAGAAAAGAAAACTCCTACAGTTGCATACCGCATGTTCTAATGCATTGACGTATGTGTGTATATATATATATATATATATATATATATATATATAAGGAATTGTCGGATTTTATTATACGAGCTCTATCCATTCCTCATGCGCCTAAGAATTCGAGTATCACACTCTACACTTGGGTGAATCGAACCTCAGACCAGAGGGGACTTGCAACTGCCAAACAGATGTCCGACCAACTGATCTGAATATATGTATGTATGTATGGTTTACATAACAAATGGAGGTGTGTTGCACGACTAAGTTTTGCCATCATGGTGGTGCACTGCTTGATTGGATGGTGGTTGGTAAGGGGTGTTGATGGATAAGCCCTCATTCGTTGAAGTTGTGGCCAATCGAGGCCCTCTAGGCAAAATTGATTCCAAAAAAAAAAAAAAATTTATTCCAAAAAAAAAAAAAAATTTTCTCAATCCTACCACGATAGTTTGGAAGAGAATGGAGATCAACAAATTTATGATGAAAATTATTAAGAATGGGAAACCTGTTATCTACCTCTTTGAAAATGACGCTACTTCGATCTCCCTCCTGTGTAAGTTTTCTCTGATTGGTAAGTTCTTATATATTCTCCTGAAAATGGAACTCATTCGTAAATCCTTTGAAAGTTTGAAATTAATGAGTGAATGGAAAGTGAGGTTTATGGATTGAAGACATTTATTAATCCAACTTGGTAAGGTGGAGGATCATGCTTGGATATTTGCTAAGAAATATCTCAAAATCGAGCATAAAAACATGAAACTTCTTAAGTGATCGGTTGACTTCGACCCTCGTACAGAACCCCCCATCGTCCCCATTTTGGTTTTATTTTCCGGGTTTGCACCTATTTAATCATGAAATTTTGTTCTCTTTGGGAGCTATTTTTGGTAGACTACTAAAAATGGATACTCCTACTTTCAATCTTACTCGTCCCTCAGTGGCTCGCGCGCTTGTGGAAAGAGACATCACTTTACCCGTGGCATAAAAGATTTGGATCAATTCGTCTCATAATGGGCATTGACAGTAAGTTGTGGTTGAGCAAAATACACACTATTGTAGCAATTGCTGAATGTTTGAACATCTCATGGATAAACTGTTATATTATAATCCAAAGCTTTTTAAGAAACCACTACCTAATATGTATGAAGAAGTTTAAGTGAATGTCGTAATTTGAATATGACAAATAAAGAGAAACAAGGTTAAAATACTATAATTATGGAGGAGAGTGTTGTTGGCCAACACATGGAGGAAGGAATGGCAGAACATAATATAAGGGAGAAAGGAGAGTTGCTTCATGATTTTCAAATGAAAATGTTAATAATTTTGAACCACGGGAGAAAGTTGTGGTCTTTGCTCCTGATATTACCATTTACCCTGAAAGGGGTGTTGTCAGAGTAGATTATACCCATGTTGAGGAGGCTTTAGTTACTGCTAAAGAGGTGGATAAATATGAGTGGATTGCACAAAAATCTAAAAGGGAAAAAAATGATAATCAATAATTGAGGAATGTATAGGCAGACAATACCATATATGAACCCACTCTTGCTTTGATGGTGATGCAGTTACCCTTCCTAGGGTCACTAGGAAAGGTACAACTCTCATATGATTAATATACTATTCTGGAATATCAGGTGAATTGTGGATCCCTCTTCCCTTTATAGGCTCACATTTTTTGTTAGGATCCATAAATTGTGGTTTTTTTCTATTTTGGAACCTTTGGTTTCTACCAACAAAAAATAAATAGTGAAGAAATTCAAAATTTTATAATTTTGTAGCCGATTCCAATAATAAAATTTGGTTATTTTGAAGAAAAGAACTCACCTTACATTTGATGTTGGAAGATCACCAATTTCTTCACGTATATTTTGAGATGGAACACTTTAAGGGTTGGGTCATTTTGTCTATGCAAGTTAAAGTCATGTCTTAAGACTGGATCCATGAAATAATTTTTTTTTTACTTTGGGTTCCAGTATGAATGAAAATTGGATGATGGTGGGGGAGAGATTTTAATATAATTTATTGTAATTCAAAAAAACAGGGAGGTAAGGTTGTTGTCCCACACCTAAAATCTGGTATTCACGATGTTATCAATGATGTTGGTTTGTTTGACCTTAGGTTCATTGATCTTAGGTTCACTTGGAAGAGAGATAGAGTATTTGAAAGGCTGTATAGAGTCATTATTAATCAATAATGGCTTTCTAATTTACAAACGTCAAATGTTTATCATCTCTCTTATTCTGAATCTGACCACATGCCTCTTCTGCTTAGCATTTCCTTGGTAGAAAAACCTGCACTCTCTCATTTTAGATTCCTTAATACCTAGACCAACCATAATGATTTCATGACTTGTGTGAGCAACTGTTGGAACTCGTTGGTGGTGGGGAGTGCTTAACATAAACTCTAGAAACTCCACAAAATCACTGTTGAAACTTTAAAAGCTTGGAATTAGGAGGTGTTTGCAGATCTACATGCCAATGTGATTATTGCTAACAAGGGGGCTAACATATTGGAAATGGTTGATGTTTGCAATAAGTTGGTTACTAATGAACTAATTGCTGCTCAACAAAGCTTACTCATGTCTATTAAATTGGATGAAGACTTTTTAAACAAAAGGCTAGTCAAGTTTATTTCTTTGTAGGGGACAAATATTCTCATTATTTCCATCCTTCTATTAAACACAAAAGAAGAATCAACTCTATTTTAAGAACTCAAAATGAAAATGGTTGTTGGTTAACTAAGCAATAGGATATATGCAGAAGTGGTGTTGAGTATTTTCATAAGCCTTTTAGTAAAGTGTTGAACCAACAAGACATTAATTTATATATCTTGGAAAATCATAGGGACTACATTAATAATTTAAACCTCATTGATATTCCCTTTAAAGTTTAAATTTACAAAGCTTTGAATTCCATAGATAACCACAAGTCGGTTGGGCCTCAAATTTTTATAGCTGAGTTCTATAATTCATGTTGGCAGGTGGTTAAAAGGGAAGTGATTACAACTATACAATGTTTTTTCAAGGGTGAACCTATGGCCAATTTATCTTCACTTCACATATTATTTTTGTTTGTAACACTAAAGATAAGTCTAGTTGGGATCATTTTAGACCTATATGTTTATCTATTGTTATATCCAACGTGATAAGAAAAATTATGGTGGTCAGGATTAAACTGCATTTACCTTAAGTAGTTGCTTTAAATTAGTCGATGTTTATAAAAAAAAAGAGTATTTTTTATAACATTCTCTTAGCTCAAGAATTATTGAATGATATCGACAAGAAATGTAGGGGAGGCAATCTAATTATTAGATTAGATTTAAAGAAAGCTTATGATTATATCGATTGGGAATTTAGCATTCAAGCGCTTCAAGGGAGAGACTTTAGCATGCCATTCTGTAATTTTATTAAAAGGTGGCTCGACGGAACTTCAACAATGTTCACATCAATGGGCAAACTCATGGTTACTTATCATCTACTAGAGGTATCAAGCAAGGTGATCCAATCTCTCCCACTTTTTTTATCATTGTATTTGACTATTTTTCTATATTGGTTAACTTAAGCCAGAGCAAACATCCCCACACCACCTACCATCACAAAGCTAAATTTCTTATTAGCCATTTGGCTAATGTTGACTATACCATACTTTTTTCTAATGCTTCTAAAAACACTGTTAAGAGAAACTATAAGATGCTTATGGACTTCTAGAAAGTCTCTGGTATGGTTTTCAACACTAGCAAATGTCATATTATTTGTGCAATTAGGTGAGCAAATCTCCTAGACATTAGAGTCCATTGGATTAAATATTACACGGGTTTTTCATTAGTTCATTTACCTTTAAAATACATTGGAATCCATTTGATTAAGGGGAGGAGGAGATAAACTCAGTTTGATGAAATTGTGGATAAAATGAAAAACAAAATTTGTGAATGGGCCAATGCTTATCTTTCGTTTGGTTTAAAAAGTATTCTATATATCATTCCCTTATATGCTCTTCAAGTTCTTAAATTGAATGTTAGCACACAATTGAAACTTGAAAAGCTTTTTCAATAAATTTCTTTGCTCGGGTGATAAGAAGCATAAGCATTGGTCTACTTAGAAGAAATTTTGAAAACCAACTTATGCTGGCTAGTTGGGCTTCAAAGAGCTTCACCGTCTTGCTAATATTAATAATATTAAATTGTGGCTAAAGTTTAGGTCTATGGATTCTTTATGGGTTGTTTATATGCATGCCAAGTATTGTAGGGATCATCATCCTATCAAGGTTTTGCTTAAAAATGGGGATTCTCGTACTTAGAAAGGTATGATAAAAATTAGAAACATTGTTGAGAAACACATATTTTCAAATATTGGGGAGAGTAATTTGTCCTTCTAGGAGGATAATTGGTTGTATGATGAATTAAATTGTCTAGGAAGAAAGGAAACTCCTAATTTGGAAGTGACCAATGTGTGGCATGGTAATATGTGGGATTATGTTATGCTTAAACATTTAGTATGCCGAGATATGGCTCACTCTATATCAAAGATTCCTTCTGACTGGTCCCAAAAAAACTTGATTACTAAACTCGCCACTTCTATCTTTATTACTACAACTATATACCATAATCTGAACTCTTAGGTGAAGGCGGATTAGGGTAAAACTATATGGTGTAAATTTCTCTCTCCTCCATGTTTTTTTTCTTATGGAGAGCTTACTATAATTTAATTCCTCTTGTTGTTTTGCTTAAACTCAAAGGCTTTAGGTTACCTTCTCAATGTGCGATGTGTAAATTGGACGAGGAAAAAATTGCTCACCTAATTTTCAAATGCACTTTTGCTAGTAAAATGTGGAACTCACTTGGTAGCTTATTGGGTGTTAATGCTCCTGTTGATGACTAGAATATTCTAGATCAATGCATATTTCCTTGGAATCATAAGAATGGGGCCATGTGAGAGGAAGAAAATTCCTATGGTTCAACAGGAGGTATGGAGGAAACCTGCTTCCCCATAAATCAAAATTAATACCGATGGTAGTTGGAATGTTAACAAATGCAGGTGCTGGTGAAATTTTCAAAGATGAAATAGGAAATTACTCGTGTTTCTTTTCCTCCCCCATGTGTTGCAAATGGTGCTTTAGAAGTTGAAGCCAGGGTTTTGTTATTAGCCATCAAAATTGTTGTTAATTTTGATTGGCATTATTTGTATGTTGAATTAGACACTTTGGAATTACCTAACATTTTGCAGGGTGTTAAACTTCCTTATTGGAATATTTAAATTTATGTTAAACACATACTTTCTATTATCAAGAATATCAATGTTTTTTGGAGCTATATACCTAGAGAAGGCAACCTCCCTATCAATTGACTTACTAGAACTAGCTCAAAGTCTAATACATCTGTGGTGAATATGGTACCTCCTGCTTGACTCAAGCTACTTCTACACGGGGGCAGATTGAATATTCTATACATCATATGCAAAATTCTTAATTACTTTTGGGTTTTGTTACTATACTTGTATTTTGGAGATTATTTTGCGTTGGGTTGTATTAGGGTGAGGATCCTTAGGTTTTACACTTTGTGTTAGTTTTATTTTGTGATGGGTTTTAGTAGGATCTACTCCCTACTTTTGTAATATCTTTTTGGTTGCAATAAAATTAACTACGAGTTTCTATATATATATATATATTCAGAATGATCAGAGGCTATTATACATGCCCCCAACCACCTTCATATGCCAAATTATTTAAGGACCGCAATGCCGACAAACTGACCAAATGGGATTCAAACCCTTGACCTGAGGGGACTTAGGACCTTCAAAGAGACTGCTATATATATATATATATATATATATATTATGTGATATATATGGAAAATGCTCGAAGTTTCTAGTAACCTAATAGGAGCAATATAATATGTATCATAGAATTTTCGACTTATTATATTATTTCTTTACTTAATATAAGGTCCCAAATTAAAAATAATTTACTCATTTTCATTAATTAAATTTAATTTTTAACATAAAATGGACTAAAAATGGAAGATTCATTATATAATTTTATGAAATAAAACTTTTCATTATATAAAAGCCCTCTATTTTAATTAACAGGAGGAATAATTAATCATTTTATAATTTTAATTTTAATATAATGCAATAAAATAAGGATCATGATTTATATGAAAGTCAATATCATCCCGACCGTCAATACGCAAAGGGCGATATCGTAATTTATTTCTTTCAGTGTAACCCTAGCGTTCTCCATCACCCGTTTTATGCTCGCAGAAAACCCTAGTCAATTTCCTTCGAGGGTTTTATCGGGAAAGATTGGAGACGCGAAGATCGATTAACCTGTAGCAATCTTCTTAGGATCTGCAGCGATGGTAATTTTCATCTCTTACCTTTCATTCTTCACTTCTGTAATTACGATGCTTCCTTACGTCTTTACTGTTTATCCTCTTTGATGCGCATGAACTGCTTTCAAGTATTTTGGCCCATGACGTGCCTTTGCTATCTTTGTTTTTGTTGTCAGAAACTCTTATTTTATGTGTTTTTGCATCGATCTGATCTTTACCATTTGGACGAAGCTAACATTTTGATTGGAAACTTATTATGCTCGGCTGATTTTGATTTGTAATTAAAATTAAGGATTTCTACAGTCTGGTTCTTGAAGCAGAAAGAGAAAGGTAAGTTTGCTATGGACTTTGTCAGAAAGAGAAGGTAAGTTTGCTATGGACTTTGTTTTTTTTTTTTTGAAGTTTGAGACCATAAGCTGCATTTTGCTGTTTATTAAGTTCGGCTCATCTTAGAGAATATTGTTTCTGCTTGCTTTCCATAAGTCAATCGATATAGATCGTTGGAACTCTATAATGAAGAGCAAAAAATATATTGTCCAGCTAGATCTTCGGCTGATGTTATGTAGCAATCATTTATAGCGGGTTTACTTTTAAATCTCATTTTATAAGTTTGATATAATTTTGTTTATAATTGAAGCTGGGTCTCCTTATCAAGTTTTCTTTATATTAATTTAATAATTAGCATTCTCTTAGCGCCTGGAGTGATTAATATGTTTAGTTAGTTCCGGTTTGTGTTCAGGGAAATCAAGCTTTGTTTTTTAGAAGGGGTATTTAGATACACATCACACAATTCTTACTTATTTACATATCTAACACCTAAGCATTTGTATTTACATGCATAACACTCAAATCCTTAATATCATATAAAAAATATCACTTTTATTTTTAAAAAGTTAATTACATATTTTATGCGTAGGTTTATGCATCAAAATCTTAGAAATGTAAATATAAAAGTTTAGGTGTTCGATATGTAAATGCATAAGATTTTGTGTGGAATGTATGTAAATTTTCCTTTTTAGAATTAGGAATATATGGTCTCTGTTTTCTCTAAGTTGTATCATACTTCTTCCGGCAATGTTTTACCTCTGTTTCTATGGTTTTCTTTGTTATATTATCATGTTTGTTCGCTCTATTGTCTTACTTGTGAAGGTAAGTCATCCAAAATATAATTTTCTTCAGTTTTATTTATTTATTTTTATTGAAGTTAATATTAGTTTTGACATCATAGGCAAGATTACAAGCTAGTGTGCATGGGAATGAAAATTGAATTCAGTTCTTTATATGGATAAAGCTAATGATAATATTGGTGAAACAAGTTATCCATTTTTACGAATGAATACACATCACTGTAGTTGGTGAACTTTTTTTTCTTAAATTTTAATGGGCACAATAATTAAAAGAAGTATTATTATTATTTGTTTGCAACAACCTAAATGGAAAAGCGGAAATATCTAAGACAATGGACAATTTTGTTAGTCATTTCATGTTGGAAAAATCAACTGTATAATTAGGATTATGATGCAAAGGGGTTAGTTGTAAGAAATAAATTTTTGAGACAAATTATGTTAGGTTGCTATTTAGATAATTCTTAGCGATGAATTTTTAATGTGGTTTGTATTTATGCTTATTAAGTTAGATTAGATGATGGTTTAAATTTTTAATTTGAGAAAGAGATGGAAAAGCTATTTCATTCTATATTTGAGGAAGATGGATATTTATTAACGGTATTTAAATGGACGTGCATATTTTAGTTAGATTAGGACCATTAATGAGAAGATTCATTGTTAGATATTGAATAGGAGATAAAAATTCAATGTGAAAAGCTATATTTGATTTATGGTAGCCCGCGATCTTGAAAAAGTGGATCATGCTGTAAAAACTAGAAAAGTCACTTAAATAAGCTTAAAGTAGATCAACTGACTTGGAATTAGAGCAATTTTCACTTGGAAGGAAATGATTTTTTTGGGTGAAACTGTAAGGTGATTTAGTTCTGCACTCTGGGAGTATTAAGAATGAACTAAATAAATATTAATCCAAAGATGCAATATTTGAATTTGAAATTTGAGAAATAGTTGATCTTCCAAGACAATAACTGATGAAATTAGAATTCAGTATTTGATTCATATTTAATATGAGATGAAATGATAGGTTCCATTAAATGATTATGAAAAATATTTTGGAGAGTTCAAAATTAGATCGTATGCATTTGATTGAATATATAGATCATACATTAGTGGGCAGACTTTGGAATGCTAAATGATATATGTGTTGATGCAAAATTATGACACACAGTATAGAGATTTCTTGTGTTGTAGTATAATAACACGCTGATAGTTTAAATAGCGTGTGTTGTATGTGTTATTAATGTGCTATAGTGCATAATTCTCATTACACTGCTATTTCATTTTCTTTGTTTTGAGAGTAAGTAAAAAATATTATAGATTTCCTTATTTTATTGTTTTTTATTAGTATATTCTTAGGGGCCTATATTGGATTCTTTTTATGTTCATTTGGCTGATCTCACATGTAATCCTCTTAAGCTAAACTCTCACTTAGACTCTCGAACTAGCAAAATAGAAAAAATGGAGCCTCCCCATTAGAATGTCATAGTCATTCTCAGGCCAGATATATGCAAGTTGAGCATAGCGTAATGTCGAGCCAAAAATAGTATTTTTTTTTTCTTTCATGTTCCGTCATAATCCTCACTCAAGTTTAAACCACTTAAGTTCCTTTTGTTTTTCAAGTTTTCATGTGGGTAATTGTTATTCTTTTTCAAACCAACAATCACTTCCAAATGTTTGTCCTGGTTATTTTGCTTATCATTACAAATCCCTTTTCTTCTCTTGGACCATTTTTTCTACAAAAACATCCCCTTTTCTTGTCATTTATCAGTTGCAACATTAGATGGAATTTATGTTTTTTTAGTCTCTCTTTTCTATGATTTTATTATAGCATTTTCTTTTTATTTGCCTAAATTTTTTGTTTTTTTATGTTTATATATTTTTTAATGTAATTTGGTACAACCTCTGGGAGTATTAAGTCATCTTAATTCCCTCCTCTTTAGGTCCATGCCTATTCAAGGATCCTCTTTAGGTCCATGCCTATTCCATAACACAAAGGTCCCGTGTGTGGCCATAGCGCATGACTCATAGAACATCACATCCTATTTTAAATATAGCATAATAACTTTAAAATTATGAGTAATTTATTAATAATTCATCCAAATGAGAGAAAATATATACCTCAAAAATCCATTATCAATGTCATATAAATAAAGCATGAGGTTACTTTATAATGAATGCTTACAAAAGACAACTAAATTATAAAATAAATTATCACAGTAATATAAAAAACTAATAAAAAAGACATGATATTCTCAATTCTAAATATATAAATATATAAACCTAAAAAAGACAACCACATGCTATTCTAAATATTTTACTAAATCATTTAATAGGCATGGACCTATAGAGGAGGGAATTGAGATATGTAAAATAACTAAACTAAGAGATCCTTGATAAAGAGATTTTGATTAAATGTATTAGATGTGATGATAATATCATGGAAGAGATGAAAATGAAACTTCTAAAAATTTTTAAGTAAGAGTTTTAAGAAATTTTCGGAAGAGGATGATGGATAAAATGACTGTATGCGACAAATTGACAAATAATATCATTTAGGCTGTCTTTGTAGAATATGCATGAAGTTGAAATTGCATGTCCAAATGAGATATTTATATAGATTCAAAAGTTTATTGAGATATTATAATGGTTTGGCTGATGAAACTTTCAATGAAATTTTTAAGACCACTACTATGAACGTCTAAATGAGATATTTATATAGATTCAAAAGTTTATTGAGATATTATAATGGTTTAGCTGATGAAACTTTTAATGAAATTTTTAAGACCAATACTATGCAAAAGGATTATAGAAGAAATACTTTAATGAGAAGATATAAGAGCAAATGAAATTTTCATGATTTTTGTTAACTTTATATAAATCAAATCTATTTATCATACAATGAAGTTATGTGAAAGAGTAATAGAATACATGCTTATAAGAACTATGTTTATTTTAGAGATGTTATTTAATTTCATGGCAGTAAGTCTTTTATGGATGTAATTCATTTGTTGACACAACGAATGCAAAATTATATAGAATTGAGATAGAATTTTCTTTGATTGAGTGCCATGAGAATTGATTGATGCATTAGGTATATTAAGTAAGAAATGTATGGCAAGCTTATTTTGAAGATATTAATGATATGCATAATGATGTATTAATTAATATTAGAAATAGTTGTAATATGGTTAAATAACTTCCATTTATAGTGGGATGATATTAAGGTTTATCTATCTTAAATGAGTTGTGGAATGCTTTTAAATGACGTTCAAGGTGAGATGCTTTGGTTTATGTTTTTTTTCCTAGATATATTATTAATCAATGAAATATTGATTAGACTAAGTGGAAAGGTGTAACAATAAAGAAATTGTTTAGAAGGACAATTGTAAAGTATCTAATATGTTCAAGTTAACTAGGTGTGTTATTGATAATTTTTAATCAATATTATTAAAAAACAAAGTGATCTATGTGTGATGGGTAATTTTGATCTATTATATAGAACTATGAGGATATATCTTCTAGAGCTAGGATTGTGTAGTCAAAATGTAGAAATGCCTTAATGGTATTACATGATGAGAGGCTATTATGGATACTTAAGGTATATATATATAGATATGTATGTATGTCATCTCCTATGGCGTCTTTCGAGAAGGATGCCACCTCTATGCCGTTTCTTTTGATGCTCTGACCACCCGCCTCGGCCGCTAGCAAGATTCGCCGCTAACGTGTCGGCAGAGGATCGTTTCGTTTTCCGCGATCTTTGACAACGATGTAGGGATTCTGTGGTTTCGTTCGCGCCAGCTTCTGCGTCGAGTGTCGACCTCGTCGAGCTGCAAGTTCCGCAGCTTTTGCGTCGGCGTCCAGCTCCGCGGCTCGTCATTTTGTGTCAGTTTTCGACGCTTCTTCTGTTTGTGTCTGTGCCAGTGCTTCTCCAACCCGATCTTCTGTTTTGTTTTTGCGCCTTTCTCTCTAGCCCGACGCAAGTTTCTTGCTACAGGTGACAGGTAGTTGTTCTGATGACACTTCCTTCTTCTTTGGCTGAACCGACAAAGACTTCCTTTGACGTGGTGGGAAACCCTCAGGTGGAGTTCACAGTGGTATTCCCCTCAAACTATAAGGAATGTCGCGATGACACAGATCATTGTCCTTTTGTTAAAAAGGGATGTAGGAAAGGTGGGAAAACAACAATTTTTTTCTCTGACTCAAAACTTTCTACAATGACAAAAAAATTCAAGTTTGCTCTCATTGAAAAATTTTAGTGAGGACACCCACCTATGGAGGTTATCAGAAAGAGCGTAGATGATCTTAAGTCAGTAGACAAGTGGTAGGTGAGACTTATGAATGAGAGACATGTGTTGATCCAACTAACAATGACTGAAGACTACACCAAAATTTTCTCCAAGAAATATCTTAATATCGCAGGAAAAGCTATGAAGTTACTCAAGTGGTCTCCTTATTTCGACCCAAATCATGAAACTCCCACTGTACCGGTATAGTTTAGTTTACCTGGTCTCAAACTGCATTTTTTTCATCATCAGGCTCTCTATTCTATTAGGGCCATCCTAGGAGATCCTTTGAAGCTAGATCTGCCTACTTTCAACCTAGCCAGACCCTCGGTGACCAGAATACTTATGGAAATGGATATTACTTTACCGGATGTTACTGAAGTCTGGCTGGGCACAACCCACAATGGATATTGACAACAAATCGTCTTGGAACACAGACCCTCATATTGTACTCACTGTAAGATGTTTGGTCATATCCTTGATAAATGCTACAAGCTACATCCTAATTTGAAAACTAAGGTTCAAGTGAATAAGGATGAATCTAACCCCACTACTCTGGACATTTTAGTTCTACCTGGGGAGGATACTACCAGACAGGTGGTGTCTGTTGCCCCTGAGGACCCCCCTCATGACACTGCTGTTACTGTTACTGCGAGGGATGTGATGTTAGCACCTTCAAACCCCATAGAAAACAATACTGATGGACTATCCGGAGAGCCTCATAGCTTCACTTCTTCAGGAAATATCCAGTGTAGAGGCATCTCATACTACACACATGCTAGAACCTATTGTGGGTATTGTGGTTGATATTCCTTCTGCTTCAGCTCTACCACTCCATCAGACTGATTCTTCTGAAGAGGAATGACAGGTCTATTCCAGGAGAAAGAAGAAGAATGGAGGCAGACTCCAGCTTGGGAGCATATTGGATGATGCATTGGTTACTTCTGGCAATGGCAACATCTTTCCAGTTTACTAGCTTTGCTCCTTTCCTAGAACTAGAGGCAGAGGCAAGACCAAATTGGGTCGCTCTCTAGCCACATGATACTATGTATTTCGACACTGTTAGGTTTTTTATTTAAGCATCTAATGTATTTTTTTGTTTTTTCTAGTTTTGGAACCATTTGTGGTTTTTTAGTGGGCAGGGAGCCATGTTTGGGCCCTCCCACACTTTGCATCTGTATCTTTCTTTCTACTTAATATATTAGCCTCTTTGGGCTTTCAAAAAAAATAAAAATAAATAAATAAATAAATAAATAAAAATATATATATATAAGTTCAAGTCTTTTGAACTAAGAAAGTCAAGATTGATTTATGAAAACATTAGAAAGGATAAATTAATGAATGATTATTTTTAAGGGAAATTTATAGTTGGCTTATATAGAAGATAAATATATTTTGATAGTTTAGGCATATACAAAAATAATAAAAATTGCATTCATTTAGTATGCCTATGAAATTAGTTTTGTAGGATTTGAAGGGAACGTGTTTGTCCTAAGATAACATGAATAAATGATGCTCAAAGTAATTTGCAAACAGTTATTATACACACACATATTTTGGATATACTTACTAAATGCCTAATAGTTTTGGCTCTAGTTTTAATTATTGTATTTCATCCGGATTATTTTAACTTTTTTATCTAAGGTTCACTCTCATAGACCTTAATTTATCAAATCTATGCACCTTCTTATACTCAAATCCATTCTATTAGTTACATAATCACTTTATGCCTCATTCTAATCATATTATAGAATATGAATGGGGGTGGGGCAATTCGAGAGTTACTTTTTGAAAATAACAGTTGAAATAAAATTTGATAGTTAGAACATGTGCAACAAATTGTAGAAAATGCATTCATTTATAATAGATAAATAAAATTAGTTATAAAAAGGGAAAAATGAGTAGCCTTTAGCTAGGAGGAATGAAGATTTCCCGCTGAAGCATAATTTTGATTTGTTTAAATAACGTCTACTAAAAAGTTGAGGAAGATTTACATATATACCACTCAATTCCTATGTATTTACATATCTAACACCTAAACTTCAATTTTTTACATGCCACCTTACCCATGCATGAAAAGGTGTATTTCAATTTTTTAAAACTAAAAATGATGGTATTTTGTTGTGATAGAGAAGTTTTGAATGTTATAAATGCAAAAAAAAGAAAAGTTAAGGTATTAGATATGTAAATATATAGTAATTGGGTGGCATGTGTAAATGCCACTCTTTTTAATTGTTTCTCTATGTTGTTCTTATTATTCTGTAGTCAAAGGAGAGCCACATTAATAAAAAAAAGCTTTGTTAAACTGTTTGATTTACAGGTGAACGTCCCAAAAACAAAGAAAACCTATTGCAAGAACAAACAATGCAGGAAGCACACGCTGCACAAAGTTACCCAATACAAGAAGGGTAAAGATAGTCTCTCTGCTCAAGGAAAACGCCGTTATGATCGGAAGCAGTCTGGTTATGGGGGACAGACCAAGCCAGTTTTCCACAAAAAGGTTTTAATTATAAAAGCTGCTTACTCTTTGCTATGAACAGTAATACTAATATTTTCAGTGCAATGTAGTTGGGTGAACTTAACTAAAATCATTCAAATCTATAAGTATAACACAGTTTAAAAAAAAAAAAAAATGAATTATCGTACCTGCTCATTCGCCTGTGTGTTGCGACCTAAATATTGAGAATTTGATGACATCAATATTTAAAACTAAACTTGAAAGTTTCATTGTAATTTTTTTATATTTGGGCGAGAATTTTTGCAAATGTCTAAGCGTTGGATGTAGGAGATGAAATTGCCCAAAAAAATAAAAGAGCTTACTTTGAGAAATTTTTTCGGGGCAGGCAAAAACTACAAAGAAGATTGTTCTAAAGCTGCAATGTCAGAGTTGCAAGCACTTCTCTCAGCACGCCATCAAGGTATAGTATTGATTTTAAATGAATCCCATGCTTCTCTTTGATTTTATTTTCCTCAAAATTTGGGAGAATAATCTATTGTTTATTTCAGAGGTGCAAGCACTTTGAGATTGGTGGAGACAAGAAGGGGAAGGGAACGTCTCTGTTCTAAGTACACCGAGTTGCTTGCCTCGGTTCCTGATGCATTATTATCATTATCATTATTATTGTTTGTTAATCATTTGGAAGATGTTGGGTTTTATCAATAGATTTTGTTAAATGAGATTTTGGACCTATGATTTTGCAGTTAGTTAATGTTTTTAACTATTGGGTTGTCCAGACTACCTAATCTCTTATGAAAATGTTGCATTTGCTTGGGCGACTCGGGCTTATGTTCATTTATGCTGCTGTTTCTGTTGTACTGGCAAAAATTTAGTACCAGATATCAGAAATTTGCTGTGGGAAAAGTTATAATTGAAAGCAATTTAAGTTGTTTCGGTATACTGAATGCAGATAATTTCGACCCATTGAACCCTCAATTGTAACTCTGCTCTGCCCAGAAAAGAAAAAATGCATGAACCCTAATTCAATTAAATAAGGGGGATTTAAATACATGCCATACGCACACATGCGTGTGCGTGTGTGTGTGTGTGTCACCTAAATTGTAATACTTGTATAGCACTCCAATCATTATCATCACTTTAAAAATATCTCTAATACAAGAAAACTGATTTTTTTTAAGTGATGTACACCATTTTATGAGCATGTATCATGAAGCAAAACGTTTTATATGCAAATATGAGATTGTGAGTGTTAGATATACAAACAAACAAGAATTGTGTAATTTTTATACAAACTTTCATCTAAATGAGATTAAAAATTGTGTAAAATACATGCTTTGATAATAAATTAACATTTATTTGCTAATTAAATTTGCTAGAACAAATAAATCAAATTTAAGGGATGCATGTTGAAACTTGAAGCCATAAGCACCGCTTCAACGCCGTAGTTGGTCACATAGACTACGATGGTGAGTTGCAATAACGTTTAGAGACCATAGAAGTTAGAGTTGGGAGCTGCTTGAGCGGTGTGTCATGTAGGTCGTAATTAGTCAAATATGTCATGATTGTGAGTTGCAATAATGTTTTTATGCCACATAAGTTAGAGTTGAAAATTGTAATAACGTTTTTAGGCCACAGAGGTCGAAGTTGGGAACTCTATTAATTTGTGTCACATAGGGTGTAATTGGTCACATAGACCGTAGTAGTGAGTTACAATAATGTCTGTAGGTCATAAGGGTCAGAATTGTGAGTTACATGAGTTGTGAGCCACATCTATAGTTGGTCACATAAACCGTGATAGCGATATGAATAACATTGTAGGCCCACAGGGGCTAGAATTGAGAGCTTCAATATTGTTCGTAGGTCATTATTACTAAAGTTGGGAGCTCTGTGAGATGTGAGCCACATAAGTCATAGTTGGTCACATTGGCATTTGTGGTGAGCTACAATAAAATCCGTAGATGATATGAGCCAAAGTTGAGAGCTACAAGAGGTGCGAGCCACAGGCTATAGTTTGTTGTGGTGGTGAGCTACAATAAGGTATGTATGCTACAAAGACCAGACTACAAAGCTGCAATGAAGCCCGTAGGACAAATCGGCTAAAGTTGGGAGTTTATTAGTTGTGAGCCATATAGGTGGTAGTTGGTCACAAAGGCTATGTGGTGAATTGCAATAAAGTTCGCATGCCACAAGGGCCAGAATTGAGAGCTAAGTGAGCTATGAGTATGTCTTAGTAGGTCACATACGCTGTAGTGTTGAGTTACAAAATGTCCGCAGGCCACAAAGGCTGTAGTTAGGAGCTACGTAAACTGTGAGCCATATAGGCCATAGTTGGTCATATAGGTCATAGTAATGAGATGCAATAATGTCTGTAAGCCATAGAGGCTAGAGTTGGGAGCTGCAGTAATGTTCGTGGGCCACAAAAGCCATAGTTGGGAGCTGCATGAGCTGTGATCCACGTAGGTCCTAGTTGTTCATATAGGTCGTGGTGGTGAGCTGCAATAACATTCATATGCCACAAAGACCATAGTTGGGAGTTGCATAAGTTGTAAGCCATGTAGGCCGCCGATCACACAAGTCGTAGTGGTGAGTTGCAATTGCATTGACTAGCCATAGAGGGCGTAGAGGGAATTTGTGAGATGAGAACTTTAGGAGTGGGGAGAAAATTGTCGTAAGATGAGTATGACGGTTGTAAGATGTTGCTGTTTGTAGTTATTGTCGGATCTTCAATACAACATTATTTATCTCGTATTGGGAGTACGTTGTTACAATGGATTCAAGGTGCAGCGTTACATAATATTCGGGGTGTGTCATTATACCGTCTTTGGGTTGCATCATGTCACGTACATTATGGCTCAACAAGGTACTTCATTGTAACACCCGTTTTTATTTAGCAAGGTCCACTGACGACGATAGGTAGGGGTTGACATACGATGGTTGATGATGGCTGATCAGCGGTAGTTGCCAGTTGCGAGAGCAAAGAAGTGTTCGTCGGGTCTTCGATCCAAAACAATAGTGAAACTTGGCTCTTTATTGTCGAGGTAAAACTCTAAGTTTAGGTCTTCCCACTTCATGAAGAGAATAAGACTTTATTTATAAATTTTAGGAGTGGCATCACCTGTAATTAAGGTAGGAACTTGAACCACACCATCAGACAATCAGAGTGATTCCTTTAATCGGATGACATTTTATGAGCATTTAAATGTCATAATGATGTCAAAATTGATTTACATTGAGTTCATTGAATTCACCTTATTGAGACACTAGTTTGAGTATAATCTTGTTAGATTTAGAATTCATTTGACCTTCAATTAATCATCCAAAACTTCTAAAATTGATTAACAACTTGATGCAAGCTTGATTTGACTCTGGATCAATTTTGATGTCATTATATTCATCTTGTCAAGTCAATCAATTTGACTATAAGTTTGTTGAAATCGTAGTCTTAAATAACTTTTAATTTGAGTTTGAATATTATTGGCCCACAAAATGCCTCGTGAATCGTGCTAGAAGTTCAAATTTATTAATGGCATATCAAATCTAAATATGAAATGTTAGGTGTTAAATATTTAAATACATAGAATTGTGGGACATGTGTGCAAATTTTCCTAAAAACTATATAATGCTCTTGATTCTGGTAGAACACAAATGCATAAATTATAGCATAAATTTTATAAAATAAATTTTACAACAAGTATAATTACTCACATTAATATCCTTTCATAAATGACTAAGTCAAAACTCTGTTCCTTACAATTTAGTTCCCAACAATAAAAAGTATCTATAAACATTTCACTTTCCTGACAATCAAAAAAAAGAGTTCAAAAAATAGCACAGCTATTTGATTTTGGCTCATAAGCCATTTTTTTCTTCATTATTGAAAAAAAAAAGGTAAAGTAAGTCAGAATCGGCTTATATAGTTTCCTCTTGACTTGCATCCTCTGTTGACTATTATTCTCTGCAGTGCTCTCTTAGCCTCCTCCAAAGTCTCAACACCATCTTCCACCTCAAATGATAACCTGTGAATGCAACACTGCATTGACAAAACTACAAGTAAGCAATATAGAAAATAAAATTGATCCCAAACAAAACCTAAGCTTTTGCAACTTTATTAATTTTTCATTTATTTTCACTTAGATTTCCCAATATCCTACTTCGAGTGAAGAAATCATGGCCATACTATACATTAGTAGAGATTTCTGATGAAAAGAATGCAAAAAACTCCCAATTGTCTATCGGTATTACAAGAAATGTTGGAGTGATATCAACTGAAAAAATTAATTTAAAAAAAAACTTAGCTAATTCAGACAAGTACAATAGAGTAAAAAATAAATATAACAACTTAATAAAATGAACATAGAATATTAGTAAAATAATTTTGAAAAACCAAAACTTATGAATAGAAATTGTTTAAAATGATTTGAAAATACAAAAAGAATAGATATAACACTTTAGATAACACTCAACATGATATATATATATATATAAACAGACGGCAAAATGCTCGGTATATGACAGCTGATAATGATGATGGGACATCAAAGTGCAAAAAAAGTATGATCCTTACGCTTACAAGAGTGATGCATATTAATTCTTAATTTAATGACACAACAAGTATCTTTATTTAAAAATGAATTTTTAATTAAAAAACAAACTAAGATTACTTCAGTACAAACTTTCACAGCTACTTTAATTGGTTAATGTGAAATGGAGTTTTTATTTCTTCTGAAGAGGAAATATGTGAGTCAGAATGATAAAATTGAACATGTATGGCGTGTTATAATATTTTTAGTTGTTTTCGAAAACACTCGAAACAACTTTAAGATGTTTTGAGTGTTTTTGAAAAGAAGCTAATTTGTTTTTGAAATAAAAAATAAAAAGGGGCATTTACATCCATAGCATTCAATTCCACTGTATTAACATATCTCACACCTAAACTTTCATATTTACACACATTGCACTCAAATCTTTAATATCACATAAAAAAAAAACACTATTACCACTTTTTAAAAGTGAGCTACACATTTCATGCATCGGTTTAAAGAATCAAAGTGCTATCTATGCAAATATGAAAGTTTAGGTGTTAGATATGTATATACATTAGAATTGTGTGCTAGGAATGTAAATTTCTCTCTCTCTCTCTCTCTCTCTATATATATATAAACACACTAAACAAAAATATTTTTAAAATAAAAGAAAAAAAAAAAATTAATTCAATTAACTTATTAATATTCATTGCTATTTATGTTACATTTCTCTAAAAATTCCTTCAAAACAAGGTGAGCATACGGAAATTCTGTTCAGTTTTTATATCTGAAAGTTACCTTGGCTCCCTGTCGAACTCGAATATTTGTGCCTTTGCTATCGATTGATATGAAGGCCGCGTCATCTATCTCTCCTTCAGCTGATAAAATTTCCTTGAGAGGCTTAGAGAATATTTCATTTAGTTCCTGAAAATATAAAAGGCAATACATTCAAAACCCAAAGCTTCTCAATCTCTTGGTTGATTAAATCTGTGCAACCCAATTAGAACATGTTTTTCATCAAGCATGTTTGGAACAAACTATATGAAGACGTAGGAGTAAATCTTTCTAAGAAAAAAAAGCAGCATTATTACTAACTTCTAAATTTTTTTCTCCACCATCAGCAGCAATCTTATCAGGTTGAATGTCTTCATAATCCTTAACATCAATCCACCCAACAGTACCAAATCCACCAATGAAATATATGTCCCTGAAATGAATAAAAATAGTTGAGAACTACAGACATAAATATTACATGTTAGTAAACTCATGGAAAAGAAACATTTGCTTCAACAAAATTTAAGAAAATGAAAGCAAACTGGATCAATCATTCTTAGGCGAAAGATTCCGTTCTCAGTCAAATCGGATTTTTTTCCGTATCGGGCTTACATGTTGCCATTTATTTTTATGCATGTTTTAATTCGATTTCTTGTATAATGAGGGCAAATAATATATCATCATAATAGCTGAATTATTTTTAGGATGTACTAATCTATTTGGCACTTAAGGTGTATGGGAGGTAACCATTGATGATTGAACAAAAGATAAATCCCTTTAATTCTCCTTTTATTTCTTCTCCCCTTTTATTGATTGATTCTGGGTTTCCCCGTTTCCTCTTGTATACCGATTATTCCCCCACATCTAATTTCAATTTTCTGTGTCATTGCTTGTTGGTCTGTCGCGTGACTACGATAGATTTTTCGCATCCAACTAGTCCAGCATGCCTAGTGCAAAGCTCATTCCCACTGAGGACCATACCTATAAAATCAACCACCTCGCACAGATGCCCTTCATCTTCAACTTCTCTTCTTTGCCTAAAAACCTTATCCGTAACCTCCATAGCGTGAATCAGTAAAAGACACAGCCTCCCCTACTGATGATCATACATGATTCTTGAGTTAATCGTCATCAATATGCATTCATTCAAAGGTGAATCATCATATTGGCACCAAATTATGGTATATGAACTACTTCAGTCATGGTTTCAAGTTTCCTAAATTTGTAAGTAAAGCCAATATATTTCCAAAATTCTTCGAGTTCACTATGAAGCACCAACATTATTTTTTTATATCCTTTCTCATCATTCTCGTCAACTTCTCTAAAAGGGAAATTATTCAGGATATAAGTTTAGATTAGAATAAGAATGATTTGAAAATGGATCTAAACATTTCAATAGGTATTAAAATGCTATCAATTCCCTATTTTAATGCTTGCTTATGCACCGGTACAGAACAATTTTATAGTGATTTATAAGCATCATACAACCGCAACCATAGTGCTATGAGATTCTTGTAATATTGGTGATCTTATTCATCATATATGTATAAGTTTAGCTCTGAAGTCTCCAAATTGTTAATATTAGCGATCAATGATAACTCCGCTGATCTGATGGTTGTCAACGACCTCCATGACTGTTAGCCGATATCTATACTTTTAGTTACACTTAAAAAGAATAAGCTAATTCTGTTAAAACCATCAACGCGGTCATCACCTCACAATTTTTTGGAGAAGAGTTTCTTTCAACTCAAATAAATGATGCCAGAAAATCTTGGTTGTAGATTCTTTTTCATATTGGTTTCAATCATGTGCCCATTTATTTATTCATGCATGTTTTAGGTATGTTCCTTGAGTGATAATAACAAAATACCTTGCCATATTAGTCAAGTTATTTTTAATATGCATTAAAGACCATATTTGATATAAGGGGCCTTGAGATGGACCGTAAAAAAATGATTGATGATTGAATCAACTGAATCCATTCAATTTTGCTCTCTTCTTATTTCTTCCTCTTTAACGATAGATTCCAATTTTCCCCACTTACTCATGCGAATTCACATATAAGGGATAAAAAGAGAAGAAAGGAAGAGGTGTTACAGCCAAAAAGAAACAACCTAGGAACTAGCAAAGTTGGGCAAAGAGGCTAAGGGTTTGTTTGGGATCAAATTTGTTTTTTTTTAATATGCATGTTTAGTATGTTTTTTACATGTTTTTATGTTTTGTTAACATATTTATTAATTGACTCAAAATTGATTGACAATATTCATCAATTTATAATCCAAGAGAAAATGACTGGACAAAAGCCTTAAACAAAAAGTTTATCAAGCTCAAGACACTCAAGAAAATAATCACCAAAAATAAGAAAGAATAGCATACCAAAATGAAAGAAGCATTATAAGCATGTTGATCTAATAATAAGATACAAACAAAGTCACTTACACATTGGTGTTTGGAACAGAAGCAATCTTATCAATTGAGGTTAGTTTGTCATTGCTTGAGGTTGCTATCTAATATAATCTCACTCAAAAGCAAAATACTACTAGTTTTTGAATGAAAGAGCTAGACAAACTTGATGAAATTACACTCCAAGCTCAGGAAAACATTTGAGTTTTATCAAAAAATGATGTCTAAATCCATAGATTGCACGCTTCATCCATGGGCATTTCAAAGAAGAGAAATTGGCCATGAGGCTAAGAATATCAAATATTCTCTAACAAAAAATTAGTAGCAAATTTGAGCCCATTTGAAAAAAATTATTTGTCATCAGAAGATTATCAAGGCAAACCCTACTAGCTTGTCCTCTGAATGATCAACAACCAACCCCACCACTTAATGGTCGATACTTAAATAACTACTGCAAATAACAATCTAACTCAAAAAGTGTTGAACTCAAAATTCCATCCAAAAGCATAAAATATCAAGTTCATTCCAACATTGCGTGTTTAAATTTTATTTGAAACTATCTTGCAACACAAAAAGGAGTTCTTAAGCTATCAGGAAAACCCCTTTGCCAGATAGACGATGCTTTACAAAATTTTATACTTATTAATTGGTAGAAATTTTCCCTTAAGATGAGGTATTTTTCAAATTTCATATTTCTTAAATTTAGACCCCTACAAGATAGAGGCATTCCTTAATATTTTTCATCAACATAATGCTTTATGCCAAGATCCCCCAAATAAATACCTAAAATCATTGTTGCCAAGTCACAAATGTGGCATAAGCGGAAAGATAAAAAAAGCTTTCTGATAAGACGTAAAATAAAGAGTAAAGTTAAAAGTTTGTCTCCTTAACTTGTTTAAATTTTAAAGATCAAGCTAAATAACTCCCAAGACTGCAAGCTTTGACCGATTGATCAAGTTGGAGAAGCATGAGTTCATCACATAGCTCAAGGGCTTGAATGGATCAAGAAGATAGGACTCAACTAATAAAAAATGACCAAGTCACTCAAAACTTTTCTTACTCAACCCATCATAAAAACGAGCGTAGTAAGAGAGCCCAAGCTTTGCCAATTTAAATACAAGGTCCATGAAGTTCTAAGTTTATTTTATTTGACAAGTTCAAAATACCCATATCAAAGAGACTTTCTCACTGGTCAATAGATCAAGACCAAATTAAAAATAAAATTAGCACTCAAGAAAACATCTATACATCCATGAAAGAAGATTATCGTGTATATAATTTCTATCTTGAAAGATGAGAAAATAGATTTCTAAGTTTGCAAACCTCAATAAACTAAATTTAAAAATGACAAATTCTTCATAGCCCAAGTTAAAAACTCGAGTGCCTAAATATGCTTGAGTCGTTAGCAATTTTTCTTACACAAAATTTGAAGAACGGCGATAATATAAGAATCCTCATTTAGTCAGTCTGAGGATAAAATTTATCAAGCTCAAAGCTCATCTTACTAAATGAGTTCAAGTAACTTAAGCCAAACATTTCCTCTCGATTTTTCAATAGATAATTAAAGTTAAAGAAATGATCCTCGCTAATAAAATTATCAAGTCAAATTTGATATCATCATACGTTAAAATGTCAAACTCCTTTAACAAATTTGAAGAACGTGAGGCAAAGACAAAAGGGCTTACTTTCTTCAATAAGTCTGGCGAAGCATAAAGCAAAGAACCAATGAATCAATACAAAATCTTATATAAAATGCAAGGCTAAAATAAGAGAATTTTGTCTTAAATAGGCTCATCAAACCACAAAGCACCAGATTAATGAGTTTTTGCTAAGGATCTAATACAAACCTCAAGGTTGAAGTCATTTGTGTGTATCCTTCAACAAATCCGCCAAAACAAAATGCATAGAACATATGCTTATGACACTGACGCGAGCGCTCGGGCAGCGCCCGATTGCAGTGCTGAAAGTGCCTATGTGGGCGCTTCGTTTCCAAGGGTAGGGGCTCGCAAACCCACTAAGCTTCGCGGAACAGCAAGATCACGATCCCGCGCAAATTCGCGTTAGCCGAAGAACCCATGTGAGAGCAGAGAAGAGGGATCACAAACTCACGCGATCCCGTTGGGTTGTTCAACACTAGTTCTTTTATGGGAAGAGCTTTCTAGATTATTCGTCTTTTCCATTCTCTTCCTTTATGTAGAAGCTTCCTCCGTCCTAAGAGAGCCTATAAATTACCGTCTCTTGTATGTAGAGAGTCAGTTGGAGAAAACTTGTCTTCTAATCTCGTGTATGGAAGGCTCCTTCCCCTTTATGGGTTGTATCCGAGGAGGCGGTGGTGCTTCAACCTTATACTCTCCAAAGTGGTGATTGTATCCCTCATTTCTACCTTCCCCAAAACCCTCTCCCCTCCACTATTCGACCGCTGAAAGCTCCCTCCATCATCTCGAAACTCAACCACTTCCCCTTCCGGTAGATTATTATTGTTGTCCGCCTGCATAACTGTTTTCAAGCTCCTCAAACACTCTCCTCACTGCCACTGTCAACCACCTACAAACCTTTCCTACCTGTTGTCCTTACAGTTCCGACCCTTACCTTCGCTACCACCCACCTTCCGTGACTTTCTTCATCCCTCCCAAGCATCTCGACTCTTCTAGCCGACCTCCACCACCCATTGGGGTACTTTTAGGAGTGTTTGTCGGAGTCGTTTTATGTTTTGTATTATCATTTATGTTCGAGTCATGTTGTAGAACTATTTTAATATTAATGAAAGTTTATTTTTTGTGTTTCTACTGTTTTACCTACTAGTTCCGGTATCAGACACTAAAAAGTTGATAAAGTTAAATCAGTTTAATCCTTTATTAAGTCCGTTAACGCACAAAGCATATAAGATAACAAACACCAAATTCAAATTTTAAATTTCTCAGAAAAAGTGAAATGAAATTATCATTATCAAGTCGATTAAATACAAAGAACCGGACGGATGATAACCCTAGCTGATTCAACAAGCTGCTATAGCCGACCAGAATAATTACAATGTGGCTTCTAATCTTAGAGTTAGATGCGCACACCTAAAAAATGTTAGCAGTTGGACTTCAATAAGCCATACAAAACCATTCAAAGAACAAAGATTCTCCGCTCAAACAATATTATATTAAGCTTCTGTTATATTAAAAATGAAAAAATCAATGGATGAGAAAAACATGACAAACCTAATGGTAGCCATCCTGTAATAATAGAAGTTTCCCCACTGCTGGGATGCCCACTGTTGGTGCTTTGCTATGAATTGTTTACAAGCCCAACCCTGCAGTAAGCAATGCAAAATTTACTTACATGCCCATCAAGGAAAGAGTATAAAATTCAGTACAGTTATTTAAATCAAATTACAGGGGAAATTCAATCGCAAATCAAAGAACAAATTTAAAAGAGCAGGACATCGTGTATCATTAAAAATCATACTGCAATAATGAAGTTCGAAATTACAAGCTTCATTGAATTTTAAAGCAACTCAGCAGCATTTATTCTTCTATGGCATGATTTTTTAATACAGTTTAACTTTAGCTTTATCTTCAGCAATCAATCTAATTATACATTAAATAGATAGTAAGACAACATTTTTAAATTGTGATTTAGATGAAAAAAATTATATTGATCAACATGTATAATTTATAGCAAAAGTTCAAGAAAATAAAATTTATAAATTTGTAAAATTTTTGTAGGCATTAATGACATGAAATGTGTGACAAAATAATAGTATCAGATGATTTTTTTTATTAGTGAATTTAATAAATATTTATATTAAGATTGTTAATAATAGTTATATTTTTTATGTTAAATTGTTGATGGTATTTTAATTTTTGGTATGAATCTAGATATTATAAATAATAGTAACGGTTTTCTATCAACTCAAATAGATATGAAAATTTTAGGTGAAACTAATGTGTAATACTATGCGTAAAAAATTGTAGAAATGTAAACAAAAGTTTTATTTCAGTCATATTATATTCATAAATTTCTCATAAAATTTAATTATGAATATGTAAATCTCATAAGCACTACATATAAATTCAACTTATATCTTATTAATAATTTGGGTGATAGTGTACCATAATAAATATAATCTCAAATAATTTGATGACAGCTAATGGCATGCATCTAATAAATTATTCTCAACCTGATATTACTCATGTCGTAGAAAAATTGAGTAGATACTAGTAACCCAATTAAAACAACTTGGAAAGCAATAGAAAGGATTTTTAAATATTTAAAATACAATATAAACTATTGCATTAATTATAATGGTTTCTTATAGCACTAGAATATTATGATGCTATTTGGATTGTCGACAATGATAATACAAATGTCACTAGTGATTATGTCTTCACATTTTATGGTGGTGCAGTATCTAAAAATCTATTAATCAAACATTAATCTCTAGATCTACGATGAAAACTGAAATTATGCTACTTGTTCTTAGACTAGAGCTATAATTTTTAATCAAATTAAAATGTCTAAATTTCTTAAGGTAGTGTTTGACTGCAGGAAGGATTTAATCATAGTAGGATTTAGTAAATCTGGAGTTAATAAATTCACCTCCTTGCTAGATTTATTAAATTTGAATTTAACATGAATCGAAGGCAAAATTCAAACCTTAAATCCAAAATATCATAAATCCATGGAACTTGTATATTTTTATGTTTCGTTGGATTTAATAAATCCAGCCGGTAAATCCAATTCATAGGGGTCTGCCAAATACCCCCTAAGAGTAGAAAAATTATTGCATCAGGACTCCAATCAGGGTCTGTCACGTGTACAGGCAGACCCACTCATGTATTAAATTGGGGGTCTGTCTGTACACGTGGCAGACATTGATTGGAGTCCTGATGCAAAACTGCATTAGGACTCCTGATGCAATAATTTCTCAAAAGAGTAGGGCTATCAAAAAAACTCGTTGCTCCCAAATAACTCGTATTTGACTCGTTAAGTAGCTCGTGTTCAGCTCATGGGTTAAGTAAACGAGCCGAACATGAACAATTTTTTTAAGCTCAAATTACAAATGAGTCGAACACGAACAACCCTTTGCTCGCTCATCAACTCAGTTTAGCTCAAAATTAAAAAAAAAATTATATATTATTTATATAATAAAATATATTATATATAATTATATCTAAGTTTAAACGAAAACAACTCGTGTGGTCATGTGATTCTGTGTCTTCAATTGCACAGAGTTGGTGCAGGTTGGAATCTAACACTCTACATTTTGCAATTAATTTAACGAGACAATTTCGAGTAGAACACGAATAAGAATATCTAAATCGAGCCGAACATGAATAAGAATATATAAATTGAGCCGAACACGAACAAATTGTTCACAAGCCCATTTCAAACACGAGCTCATTCCAAACACGACCAATCTTAAATAAGTCGAACACGAGCCAACCCTAAGCTCTCTTAAGCTCAGCTAGTTTACAACCCTACCTAAGAGTATATAAAACCTTGTTGCACTAATTTGTAGCTCTCTCTTCTAGTCATGAGATACAATCAGTCCTCTTCTATTCTCATTTATATATGATTGAAAAAAGAGCAAAATTATAAATATTATTTGTGTAAAAAGATGTCATTTTAAATTATAAATTTAATAATTTATTTGCATTTAATTTAATTTAATTTATGTTATATGTTATAAAATAAATAACGTTTAACGCTCTTAAGTTATAACATTTTTATGTTATAACATTATAACTTTTTCACGCTATAATATTATAATGTTATTTTATTTTTTAGCATTAATTATAATAATTCCCTCATTAAATAATAAAATAATAGAAATGAAAATTTATAGTTTTAGATAACTTTTATCATGCATTCAATGAAAATATATTCCAGATTTGAACCTTCACTTAATATAAACAAAATCTGGCAATAACAAATACCATAATGACTAAATTTTTAAACTAGGTATATAAATTATTGTATCATTTTGTGCACAAACTATATGAGACACACTGTATCATTTCATGCACCGTCATCTCAATTCGTAAGTGTTTCAAGGATTTAACAAGATCTGTTTATAGCCGCCTATTATTACAACACTATATAGACAAGATATCCAAAATACACTGCAGTTACAATATCTCGTAAAAATTTTACCTTCAATCTCATTAAGAGATATAACACAACTTACTTTTCATAGCAGTTTAGCACAATTATATGTATATATAAGGGTTAGCTTTAAAATATTTTAAAGAGTGTTATTATCAGTCATTTATTCAGCTATGTTTTTACTACAATGAATCTTTTGTCATAGAGTTTTCAATCTAAAGATTGATTTTCCAATTTGATGATTATTTTAAACACGTTCATTTTAATGACCTCAATATAAGAGTCTTTAAAAGCCCTTACATCAATGAATCTACAATATTTTTCTTTAAGCAAATAAAATAATAAGTGACAATACCTCGTTTATATAATTCATATAAAGAGTCAAGTCTTATCTCATAAGACTCTTTTAATAACTATTGTTTGCACATTATGTTTTCGCTATAATTATTTTATTATCACAACTTATTAAAATAACATGTACATATTTGCCAATTTAAGGTAAACAATCTAATAAATTTTTAAATCACTCAGCTTCAGAAGTTAATCTCTCTCTCTCTCTCACACACACAGACACACAGACACACACAGACACACAGACACACACACACATTATAACATTAAAAAAAATATTAATACTATAACATATAACACAAATTAAATTAAACACACACACACACACACACATATATATATATATTAATAACATTAAAAAAAATATTAATACTATAACATATAACACAAATTAAATTAAATATAAATAAATAAATAAATATGTAACTTATAATAATATTTGTTAACAACTATAAATCATAAATAGCATTTATTATTTTGCACTAATCTTTTATTTAAAAATAGATCAAAATATAAACTTGAAAGGGATAAAAAGTTATTAATTATCTCTTACTTTCTCCATCAATTTTTCTTTTTTTTTGGGCAACTAAATACACACAATTAGTTCGAAGTTTTATCAATTTGTTGTGATGCAAATGCAATCAAGGTAAGATGATAGATTGTACTTCACGAGTAGAAGATAGAGACACAAAGTGGTGCACCCAACGCTTTATCTACTATAACGATAGTTAACAAGCCAAAACTTACTGGGGCGTAAGTGGTTCATACAACGCAAGTGCACGTGTCAAGTAGTAATGTGGTTCAAGAGAACCGCGTATCAATCCCACAGTGAAAGTGTAATATTTACTTACACAAAAAAAAAACACTAGTTTACTAATTCAGTTAACTTAGTTTGACAATTATCAAAAGAAGATTTTTAAGTCCCAAGGTCCTAGCAAAACAGAGTACTTGGTGGTAAAGGAAAGCAGAAAACAAGAGGGAAAAATTTGTGAGTTCCTTCAAGATAGATGAGGCTCGTGCCTCTGTGATTTGGGGATCATGGCGATCATAGTTTTCCTGAATATTTTTCCTACGTGATTGTTGTTAATCGGGGACAAGGTACTCCTTATGCCTATGTCTAGGTCAGAAGAAGCCTAGAATCCGTGAAGTTGAGGCTTGCTCAATCCTCATGGCATTCAACAAGCCTTTACTGATCCGCTTGGATAATTGTAAAATTCCACTATAATATATCTATCCTATCAAAATTCTGTGATTAACTCTTCCACTATGAAACAGTTAAAGGTCGTAGTTTCATGAAAAATTTTAACTTCCTAGTTGACCAGGCTAGGAATAAATGAAGATCGGAGATTAACCAACAGATATCATGAAAAACTCAAGAGAACAATTAATGGAAAAATAATACAGTAAATCAACGATAAATCCACTACTCCCTACATCACAGAGACACTAAGAAAATCTTAATCGTTCATTACGGATAAAACCATAGCGAAAAACACCATGAAATCCCATTGCAAGCAACATAAAGATCAACAACTTACAAGAAATTGTTTCTTAACAAAGTTAGCAATTTTCCCTCTCATACAAAATCTCTCATAACTCACAAAGTAAAGAAAAACTCTCTTGAAATTTTCAACCCAAGGAGGAAGAAATCCCTCAAGAGATCTCTCTCAAATCCTCTCTCAAACTCCTCTCTTTCAACCTCCAAGCCTTTTTTGATGTTGAACTCCCTCTTAGAAGCACTAAGATCTAATTTTATAGCAAGAAGCACGGTTTAGGCCATCAAATTTCCTTCCTAAAATGTTTCACGCTCGTCGGCGTGGTCACGCCTGTTTCCAACGTAATCATGTCGTT